AGACAAGACCCTCCAGCATATCTACTACTCTCCCCAGCTTGCTGTCATCTGTGAACTTGATGAGGGTGCACTCTATGCCATCTTCCAGGTCATTGATGAAGATACTGAACAAAATTGGTTGCAGGACCTACCCCGGGACAGTCCACTTGATAGCACCTAGCTAGACATCGAACCATTGATTACTACCCTTTGAGTCCAATAATCCAGTCGGTTTCCTATCCACCTTACAGTCTGTTCATCTACCCTGTACTTCCTTAGCTTGCTTGCAAGAATGTTGTGGGAGACCCTATCAAAAGCCTTGCTAAAGTCAAGGTATATCATGTCCACTGCTCTTCCTGCATCCACAGAGCCAGTCATCTTATCATAGAAGGCAATCGTGTTGGTCAGGGGTGACATCCTTGGGGAATCTATGATGACTGTTCCTGGTCACCTCCAAGTGCTTAGAAATGGAGTCCTTGAGGACACACTCCATGACTTTTCATGGAGGGTGAGGTGAAGCTGTGATCGGTCTATAGTTCCCCAGATCCTCCTTCTTCTGTTTCTTAAAGATGGGCACTATATTATCCCTTTTCCAAGCATCTGGAATTTCTCCCAGTCATGAGATTTCAGAGATAATGGTCAGCAGCTCTGCAGTCGCATCAAACAACTCCCTCAGCATCTTTGAGTGCATTGCATCCAGCCCCATGAACTTTCTGTTCAACATCTTCATCGGTGACTTGGACGAGGGGGTAAAAAGCACCCTGTTCAAATTTGCTGATGACACTAAGATGTGGGGGGATGTGGGCGCGCTAGAAGGGAAGAATAGGCTGCAATCGGACCTAGACAGATTACAAGGGTGGGCGGATGAGAATAGGATGGGATTCAACACCGACAAGTGCAAAGTGATGCACCTGGGGAGGAACAACCGGCACTATACCTACAGGCTGGGGAACTCCCTTCTTGTCAGTGCAGAGGCAGAAAAGGATCTTGGAGTCATCATTGATGTCAAGATGAACATAAGCCGGCAGTGTGGGGGTGCGCTCAGGAAGGCCAGCCGCACCTTGTCATGCATCCACAGATGCATCTCAAGCAGGTCCAAGGAGGTGATCCTCCCCCTCTATGCGGCACTGGTCAGGCCGCAGCTGGAGTACTGCATCCAGTTCTGGGCACTGCACTTCAAGGGGATGTAGATAACATGGAGAGGGTCCAGAGGAGGGCAACTCGCATGATCAGGGGACAGCAAGGCAGGCCCTATGAGGAGAGGCTACGGGACCTGAACCTGTTCAGCCTCCAAAAGAGAAGGCTGAGGGGGGATCTAGTGGCCTGTTATAAACTAGTCAGGGGGGATCAGCAGGCACTGGGGGAGTCACTGTTCCCCCGAGCACCGCCAGGAGTGACCAGGAATAACGGTCACAAGCTGGCAGAGGGTAGGTTTAGGTTAGACATCAGGAGGCGCTATTTCACGGTCAGGGCGGCTAGGGTCTGGAACCAACTTCCAAGAGAGGTGGTGCAGGCTCCTACCCTGGGGGTTTTTAAGAGGAGGTTAGATGAACACCTTGCTGGGGTCATTTGACCCCAGTACTCTTTCCTGCCATGGCAGGGGGTCGGACTAGATGATCTGCTCAGGTCCCTTCCAACCCTAGAAACTGTGAAACTATGACTTGTACACATCCAATCTATCTAAATAGTCCTTAACCTATTTTTGGCCAGTGGCTGCTCACCTCCTCCCTAAACTGTGTTGGCAAGCGCAGTAATCTGGGAGCTCACCTTGCCTGTGAAGACTGGGGTAAAAAAGGCATTGCCTTTTCCACATCATCAGTCATTAGATGGCCTCCCCCATTCAGTAAGGGAACCCACGGTTTTCCTGATCTTCCTTTTGTTGCTGACGTACTTGTAGAAACCCTTCTCGTTACCCTTCACGTCCCATGCTAGCTGCAACTCCAATTGCACTTTGTCCTTCCTAACTTCATCCATCATTGATAGCCTTTTTAATGTACCACAGTTGTGATTTGCCGCACCTTTGCTGTCAGTCCCAATTCCTAAATACAGACAGTCAATCATGCCAAATTCAGTAAAAGTCTGATTACTACTGAGAGTCTACATTATTTTCAGTAATTTATCTCAGGTTCTCAAAGGCAAAAGGCAAGTGTGTTAGCTCACTTTGCCTCCTTTTATAATGAAAGCTAAAATTCTTTTGGGCACTTGTTTGAATTACATACTGGTATATGCATGCAGTGAAATAAGCCCAACCTTCTGTCAGAATAGATGTACTTTTTGTTCATGAATACACACCACTCATAGAACCAGTGTCACTCTTCAGATACCAAGTAAAAATAAAATACGTATCCAGTTACTGTGTATCTGCTTATGCCCCCCATCCTTTAATTATTGATTAAATGTAGATTTAAAGGAACATGATCAGGTCAGTATTGGTCTGAAATTTGTATTCTGTTTTAAATAATATGTTTTTGCAAAGCCTATGGTATGACCATGAGTTTATTTTATTTTAGGGGAAGCAGCTGTCTTTCATAAACAAATAATGCCTCGCGGTGTTTGCTGTTCAGACGCTGCGGCATTGTGATGTTGCATGACAGTCTGAAAATGAAATCAGTTAGAAAGTAAAAGTGAGATTACATATACAACTGTGAAAGCACATATTCCGTTTTCCTTATCCACTCAGAGAAATGCTAATAGTGAAAAAGAAATGATTTAAAAAATGCTACAAATTACATTACTTGCAAGTGTGAGGTCGAACCTGGCATTGCTTGATGTAGTTCATCTAATTAGCCAGTTAAGGGTCTGGCCTCTTATTTAATAGTTGTCTGCCATAAATGATGTTTTAGAAATGTTTTAGAAATGAATGGTGTTTCAGACTGACTTTTTTTGTGAAATAAAATTTCACATTTTTTTGTGAAATACATATTATGAAATAAAATTAGCTTATTCAATATCGCTGAGAGGTTATCTATTTATGTAAACAGTTTGTTGGAATCCTACACTAGCTATCAAGAAGCGCCTGCCTGTCTGACTTACACTAGTTTTCTTTGCTTTCAGGGTTATATCCTTTGCTGTGACCTCATGGTTTAAGTGGGACTAAAGATGAGTATAAGCAGTGATGAGGTTAACTTCCTGGTATATAGATACTTGCAAGAATCAGGTGAGTAGTCCATCTAAATTCTTTTGATTTTCAAGAAATAATTAATCTGTAACTGGCTCTGCTAAACGCAGACTAGATTTATAATTTTATCTGTAGGTGGATGCATCTGCTGAATATGAATTGTTTCTGTGTTTGTGTGTCCAAATCAGGACACTTGATCCTAGTAATTTGCCTCCTACAGCTTAACTGGTTTTAGTCATTTTAATACTGTTCAGGTGCCAGACAACTCAGTGATGTCATTTGTGGGGAGAGGATTTTTTTTGATGTCTTGGATAGCCAAGATACTTTGTACCATTTGGTCTGGGGCCACTTGAAGAAAGGTCTGCTGGAGAAAATACTCCTGCTATCTAGTTCTGTTCTGGAGTTCTCTAAATAGTTCTCTTGTGGGATGAGTTTCTTGGTAAAATGTAGCCAGGGAATCAGAAGACATTAGTCCATTTTGGAGGAAAAGGGCATCACTGAAGGAGACCATAATGTACATACTATAAACGTGGTTAAGTAGGTTACTATAAAAATACTCCTTCTGGCAAGGGACTTACTGTGTAGAGATTCTAGTCTGTTTTAACTACCTGGTTTTAACTACTAGTGTCAGATTAGCAAAAGTCCCCTGCCTCCCAAAGCTAGTGGTAGACCAAAATCCTAATACCTGTTATACTCAAATGGAAGCATTTTATTTCTTCTTGTGTCTACCCAGCTTTCTGATATATGCAAGAAAAATAGAATGTACCTTTAGATAGTTGGTGATATTTACTGTCTTCTGTTTGAAAAGCTTCCAGAAACCAACCACAGCAGCAGGGTGTAGCTCAGGGGTAGGCAAAATTGTGGATCTGTTTGGCAGCCAGACTCCATTTTCCAGCAGTGCCTGCCTGTGGGGCTGGGGCTGGTTTCCATGGAGACCCCAGCAGCGGCTGCACTGTGGTAGTGCAGGGCCGGGGTTTCCATGGAGACTGGCCCCAGCAGCGCTGGCAGGGCAGGGAGCTGCTCCGGGGCCAGGCTGGGATCTTACAGTGGTAACAGTACAATCTAGAGCAGGGTGGGCAAAATACAGCCCGCAGGCTGGATCCAGCCTGTGAGGCCATTCTATCCCGCCCACAGAGCCCCTAAAAAATTTACAAAATTAATATTTATCTGCCCTTGGTTCCTGTCAAAAATGACAGGAACCAAGGGCAGTAGGACCTAGGGGAAGCCTGGTGGGCTCCCACAACAGCAGCGCCTCCCCCCCTTCCCCCTCGTTAGAAGCCCCAGGAGGGGCTTCTGGCCTGGGAGCACGTGGCTGCCCTGGCAGCGCCAGAACCTCAGGTGAGGGGGAAGAGCAGGGGAGGACCGCAGGCAGGGAAGGAACCTGGGGAAAAACTGAGCGCGGGCGGGGGGGGAAAGCGGCCTCTGACCCACCTTGTGGCTGGGACCCCACGCTGCAGCCGCTCACAGCCCATGTGGGGCTGCCTGTGCCTGCTCCAGACAGCCCTGCTGGCTGCGAGCGGCTGTAGCAGGGAGCAGTGGGTTGGGGAGGGATCGTTTTTCCCCCCCACTCAGCTTTTCCCTGGGCTTCTTCCCAGCACGGAGGAAAGCGCCCCCGCCCCATGGCCGGTGCCCCACGCTGCAGCTGCTCACAGCCCATGCGGAGCTGTCCGGAGCAAGCACAGACAGCCCCAGGTGGGCTGTGAGTGGCTGCAGCACGGGGCGAGGAGCCACTTCCCACCTCCCCCCCCCGCCCCACACTCAGCACCATCTTTGAACCTCGCCCCACTGCCAGCCTGGGCCCCGCGCCAGCTTCAGCCTCACCTGTTGGGGCTGCACATGGCGACAGCAGCTGCGGGCCCCCCACTTGCCACACCAAGCAGTGTTTGCCACTGTCTCCTCTGGGCTGCCCAGCGTGCAAGCTCTGGGCAGTCAGCAGCAGCCAATACTGCCCAATGCAGCAAGTGGGGGTGCCGCAGCTGCTGCCACTGATGGGCGAGCCTGGAGCTGGCTTGGCACCCAGGCTGGCAGTGGGGCTGGGTTGCAAGCTGGTGCTGAGTGCATGGAAAAGTGGCCCCTCGCTCTGCCCATGTCCAGCACCCTGCACTGTAACCACTTGCAGCCTGCATGGGGCTGTCTGTGCCTGCTCCAGACAGTGGCCCTCCACCTGTATTGCAGGGCTGGGAGGCACTGGGTGTGAGTGGGCGTGGGAACCAGCAGGAACACGGGGCCCTCACCAGTGTCCTGGGGCCAGTGCCGCGGGGCCAAGAGCAGGGTGGCAGGAACGCGAGGTCCCAGCTGGCAGGGGCTCTATGGACTAGGCCAGCTCACCCCTCTCCCTGCTGGTGCAACCCATCCCATCTCCACAGACCCCTGCCAGCCTGTGCCCCACTTTGGGCCCCACCAGTGCTGTCCCTGGGACATTGGTCCTAAGATGGTGACTAGGGGGCGTGGCATCTGTCAAGGGGCAAGGCTACCCATGCTGCCCTGGACAGCCTGCCAAAACTGGGTAAGTGGCCCTCCACCCAAAATAACTGCCCGCCCCTGGTCTAGAGCCAGAGCGGAGCCATGATCTGCAGCCTGCATGGTCTAGACAGGGGCGTGTGGGCAGTGGTTTGCGGCTCTGGACCACATTGTCACCACTGCAAGGAGCTGGGGCAGAGCCATGATCCTTTGCCCCTATATGCCTGCCCAGATCATGCAGGGTGAAGACCACAGCTCTGCCCTGGCTCCAGACCACACTCTCACCACTGCAAGATCCCTGCCTGGCCCCGAAGCAGCTCCCCACCCTGCCACATGTCCTGCCAGCACCACTGGGGCTGGTCTCCATGGAAACCCCAGCCCTACACTGTCACTGGGCGGTTGACTGGGGCCAGATCCATGGAGACCCCAGCAGCTGTGTGTGTGTGTTTGTATGTATGTTTGTGTGTGTATGTACATATGTGTGTATATGATTCTTAGAGAATTTTTTAAATATATTAGACATTAATCTCATATGGATCTCACTGAGAGGTGGTTGGATTTAGGTTCCTTAACCAGTTTTGAAAATATGACTTGGGTATGTTTGAAATTTTTTTTACTGAGGACTTTCTTTACTAGTGACTAATGTCTGCTTTTCAACTGTATTGGATATAACCTCAATAATATGTTTAGACCATGAGAGAAGCTCCTGTTATTTTAAGCAGCTCAGCTAGTGATCATCCAGTATACGATGGGGAATGAGATAATACACCAATCCATCAGCAAATGGAGAAGTCTGCTTCAGGAATAGGGAGCTGCTGCAACTACCAAAACCCTGAAAGCAATAGTGCAGCGAGTTGCTCTAGACATGTATGCTCCTTTCTTTTCAAACATCATCTAGATCTGAGAATTGTTTAATGGCTTCTGGGAGATTTGGAGGCTAGAAGCTAACTCTGCAAGAGATCATCTAGCTCTACTGGTTTACTCTTTTCTAATTGGATTACTCCTCTCCTTGGACCCATACCCCTGTCATAGGGGGGAGGCTTGTGCACTCCAGTGATCCTCAGAGCTATGTCATTTGGAGCCTTGTAGTCCTTGTAGGCTCTCTCCTGGCAAACAGGTCTGAAATGAGGTCCCAGCCTAAGCATGGCCCAAACTCCTGAAGACTCCTATGGCAGATCAGGCATACTTGGGGACCCGCTGGCTCTCTGCAGCTGTGAAGGCAGGTGAGGGCCACAGTGGGATGGAGGTCTCTGGTTGTCCTGGAAATCATTGCCACTGGGTTCAGGGCTCCTGTCAAGTTTGTGTGGTTGTTGCTTGCATACCGGCTTCCCCACATTAAAAGATGTCACTCGCAGGCCTCTGCCAGGGAAAAAATACCTTCCATAAACCAAGTCTTGCGCCAACAGATAAGTGGCGGTGGGGACAGGAACAGTAATTTCTGGGGGTTCTGAGTCACAAATCTGCACGTAGACGTTGGTCATACGATGGTTGTTTTACACTAACCAAGACAGAAGTACAATTTAGCAGTTGTGGCTGTGACTGAGCAGTCCTCTTTAGGGTTCTCACTGCTCACCCTGACTGGGGGAGGGGCTAGACAAGGTGCCCTAAGCATAGGCTGTCTCAAGTCCCCCTGGCTGGATTGCCGCATCTAGTGGGATCACTCTTACCTGCAGCCTCAACCTACAAAATCAGGTACTGAAATTTGCCACAGGGAATGTCCGCACTCTCATTGAATACATGAACAGTAAGTGCTCTGAAAGAAGAACTGTTATAGTGGCTAGAGAAGTTGCAAGATATGATGTTGATATTGGTGCCCCAAGTGAGACCTGTTGGGCAGATGAAGGCCAGCTGAAAGGAGGAGGAGGTTTTGGAAAACCTTGTTTTAGAAAGGAACATTGCCTAAAGAGAGGCTCATTTACGGGGTTGGCTTTGCCATCAAGAATAAGTTTGTCAGTCCGCTTTCAGAACTCCCCATCGGCATAAACGAACACCTTATATGACTCATTCCACCTCAAGCTCAGTAACAACCAGCATGCTGCAGTCATCAGTGCGTACACCCCCACACTTGATGATAAAGTCAAAACAAGGAACAGTTCTACTGTTCTCTTTCCTTTGCTGGAAAGATACTTCCATCCTTCTGAATTGCTTCCTCCCCCTTGCTGAAGATGTCCTCCCAAAATCCCAGTGTCATTTTAGACCATCACGGAGTACCACCAGCGTGATTTTTGTTGTACAACAGATCCGGAAGAAGTGTAGAGAGCAACACCAGAAGCTGTTTATGGCATTCATTGACCTAACCAAGGCCTTTGACTCCATCAACAATGAAGCCATGTGGAAGGTTCTGGCTAGGTTTGGTTGTCTGCTGAAGTTCATGAGTGTCCTTAGGCTACTCAATGATGGGATGACCGCCATAGTCCTTTGCAGTGGCTCAGAGACAGACCCATTTACCATCTGTACCGATGTCAAGCAGAGCTGCATCATCACCCCAACCCTTTTCTCCATCTATCTTGCTGTGATTTTGATTTTCATCCAGGACTGCCTTTTTCCTGGAATTGGGGTTTTGTATTGAATGGATGGTTAGCTTTTCAGCCTGTGGCACCTTCATAGCAAAACGGAAGTCATCAAGATTGGCATTATCAACCTTCAGTACACTGAAAACTGTTATATCCTTGCACATACTGAGACTGATCTACAGTCCACTCTTGACTTTTTTCAGGTGCTTATCATTGCGTAGGACTCCCCCTTAATATTGGGAAGACCAAGGTGCCCCATCAGCCTGCCCCAGCACAAGCTGCCCTCTTCCCAGACAAATTACCATTGGTGGAGAACCCCTGGAAAACATCAAGCATTTCCCATACGTTGGCAGCCACTTCTCCCAGTCAGTCAGTTTTGATGTAGAAATCAAACACAGGATTTGCTGTGCCAGCATATCCTTCAGAAAGCTGCTTCACTGTGTCTTTGCCGATCGAGATCTGCAGATGGAAACTAAGATCCTTGTCTACGGTGTAGTGGTAATCCCCACACTCTTCTACAAGTGTGAGACATGGGTGACATACTGGGAAGTGCTGGCTGATACAGATCTCAATGGCAGTGCACCATAAATCAAGCTACAGCCTACTTCGAAAAGAACCGCCTTCCTCAGGAAGGCAAGAAAAGGCAGAGGAGGAAGGAAAGCATACAGCATCTTGGCCAAAAGTGGTACTCCCCTTTCTCCCCCC